TGAATGCTGGGGAGAAGAAAGGTTTAGACCCAGTAGTAGCACAAACTGAAGGTCTCTCCCAATTTGGGGAAAGAGATGTACAGCAACAAATAAATGACTAACAGTCAGGGAGAGCTTGCAAATGACTTCAATTGAAGTCTCAAAAAGCAACTGATTTCACACAACAATAATGGATTAAATTCTATACAACATTCACTAGTTCTAAATGCAGGGCAGAGGTAGCACAATGAGACTGAAGAATGACCAATGCATAACTGGTGTATCTATACCTACATAAAGAAGAACAAGGTGCACATACATACCCAAGGGAAACACTTATAAAAATAAAATAGTAACTAAGTCTAAAAAGAAAAGACCTTGTCTCACTGTAACAACACACACACACACACACACACACACACACACACACACACACACACACACACACAAAACAAAACCAGACATCTTGCCAGGCATGGGAACACATCTCTAATCCCAGCACTCTGTAGGTAGAGGGCAAGTGCATCTCTTTGAGTTCCAAGCCAGCCTTGCTTATACATAGTGTGTTCCAAGAGAGTCAGAGTTATAAATAGAGTGTGACCGTGTCTCAAAATACAAAAAGAAAAAACAGCATTATCACTTAACCATATGAATTTAGTAGACTAATAAAATACTATCTGTGAAGCTCAACAAACATTACAAGATCCCAGAACTAAATGTCCTGTCCAGTTCATAAAATGAAAAGTTGTGACTACAAACTGAACACTAAGTTTCATTCACAGCAGGGTTACAGAACTACAAACACCCAATATACACATTTAGAAACTTCCTAGTGAGAGGTTAAAACTGCAGAATCAGGGTTCTCTGCATGAGGAGGTAGGTTCCCCATATGGGAAGATCAAGTCCATTCCACTGTTACACTGAGCCCTAAGAAACTACAGCATTAAAGCAGAGGTGCTGAAGAGGTCCTCTTAACCCTTATCTTTCCTATCTCCTGCAAGTGCTGACTGTATCATACTCTGAATGACATGACAGATGCATTCTACTCTAAAAGATTAATGCTAGGTCCTAAACTATTTTATCTGTGCTGGGGATTAATAAGCCCTGATCTCACACACATGAAGCATGATCTCTAACTGAATGAAAATCAAATCCCTAAAGTATTCCTAACATAATTCTGAATCTAGTAACTGAATCACTAATAACACATTAGATGACAAACCTAAACATGATCAGATTCATCCCTGTTAAACAATTAAGTCATAGACAAAATTTAATATTATAACTTACAAGGATTTGATTCTCATATAAACCAAACAGGAATATTTTAGTAATGTGTGTTTAGACAATAGTTCCAAAGAGCAATATGAGAGCCAAAACTCACAAAAAAAATGCACACACAATAAATCAAAACTAAGTAAACAAGGCAATCTAAAATCTATGGTGGCTATCCATATAATCCAAGTGTCCAGGAATTGGGGGCAGGAGAACTTCATTGAGTTCTAAAACAGCCTGGTTTAGAGTGAGCTCCAGGCAAGGTGAGATTCTGCCAAAATTCAACAGTGTCTATATAGGGTATTTAATCTATGAGCATAAGAATCACTAAATGGTTTAACTCAGGAGGCAAAGACAGGAGAATCTTTTTGAGTACAAGGACAGCCTGGTCTAAACAGAGAGAGCATCAAAGAGATGCCCCCCACACACACACACGCAGTAATGAACATACCAATTAACAACAAATACACTCCTGACATGGATTCTTATATGGAGAATCTAAAGAAATAATCTAAAAGTAACTCAGGTTACTTTTTTTACTACAAAAGTTTCACATTAAACATAAAGACCTAACTCACAGCAACATTAATGATCCTGACATTAATGATATGTCAAGCTAGCAATCACTAACAAAAAAATTCAGTAACACACTTGTATCAGCTAACCAAAGCTCAGTATACTGTGTGCAGATAGCACATGTGTGCACTTTGAACGGAAACCAGAGGACAATCACAGCCGTTGTTCCTCAAGTGTAAACCACCTTTTGTTTTTTAAAGTACTTACTTTTTAGAAAACATTTGTTTATACACAGGAGAATTTGTATGGCAGTCACAAGACAGCTGACAGAAGTTGGTCCTCTCCTGCTATCATGGGATTCAAAGACCAAACTCAGGTTGTCAGACTGGCACAGCAAGTGCTTGTACATCCAATGGCCCGTCCAGAGATCTCATTGGTCACCTTTTCTGCTTTTTTCCTTTAAGACAGAGTCTATCTGTGGCCTGGAACTTGTGGAACCAGCCAGCCTGCCTGCCAATGAACCCTAAAGAGTCTGCCTGTCTCTGCCTCCTCAGTGCTGGAATTTCAAGTGTGCCCCACCACACTTGGTTTTATTTAGGTATATTCTAAGGGAATCAAACTCCAGTCTTCACATCTGGCTGCCTTAATTGCATTCTAAAGACGTTATTGTCACCCTAGGTCAATAATACGCTTTTTAATGAAATACACATCCAGAAAGCACATTTCTATTCCTTTCCAAATGTACCTGCTAAACAGACACATTACCATAACTGCAATCTTTCCTTCATTTCAGATTAGCAAGTCAAAAAGTTTAGAAACATTACGATCATCTAGTTATTTGAATTATTTTAAGTCATTTGAACTATACACTACTTTCCACCAAAAAAATTAAATAAGTGACTAAAACCTCAAGTGCATAAAGAAATATATACTAAATCATTTCAAGACCTAATATCATAGCCTACACCTCAAAAAACCAAGAGAGGTATAGTGGCACAGGCCTGCCTATAATTCCAGCTGCTCGGGAGGCTGAGGCATGAAGCACTCTCTGAGTCCAGACATTCAAGACCAGTACAGACAATTAGGCAAAATCTCATCTTTAAAAAAAGAGGAAAAATCTAAATTCTGTCATACCCCCCAAAATACTATGTAGAGGTGGCAATATTTATAAAAGACAGTTCTGCTTCCTTAGTAATTATAATAGGTACACCATAATGGAGGCCAACCATGAGCATTTTTAATAAAGTGAAATTACATAACACTAGTGCTAAAATATTCTAAATTTCATAGTTTCAAATAATAAGCAAGGAACACTGGGAAACATAAAAACCATAGGTTCTAGAATGAAAAGAGGGCAATTATACAGTAACAAATCACTTGTCAAATTGTTGTAAGGCAGAGTCACACTGTTTTAAGTCAGCATGAATTTTTATCCATCAAGTAAATTTTATATAAAATTACATATGGACATATTAAATGTATGTACCAATAATTAGGAAATAAAGTTTAATGTATGCAACCAACAGTCAGGAGACAGAAAAACAATCTGGAACTCCCTTCTCTTCTTTCCACTCAACTGCTTCGATTCATGCATCTGTAGTAGGGGATCTTGGTTGTAGCCCCAGCTGGCCTTGAACCTGCTGCATCGCACTCTGAAGTGCTTGGATTACAAGCATTCAAACCATGATTGGCTGACAATTTTTACTTTTAAAAACCAGCTTAGTATCTTGCTATCTGCAAAACATGGCATATGTTTATTCCCTCTGTGACACTATTTCTAATAGACCTTTCAATGTTTCAGAGCTCGACTGTCTCCAATACTATCTAATCTAAAACCATTTTCTAGTTTTCATGTATCTAAGAATGTAGTATGGCCCAAAATTCTGCTCAGTGTTTGTTTCAGTGACTAAACCACTACCCAAATACCCTCCAGGTAAAACCCTCAATTTTAATATCAGAAGAAAGACATTAAGATGAGTACAATTTAAGGTTTTTTTCTTTTTACACAAATAACCAAGCAGAGTTTTGTAAATTGGCTCTATTGCTATCTCCTTTATTATAGGTAACTATTAGCAAACTAAATTCATTTTACACGACAAAGTTAAATAATACATGCCACGTGTAACGATGGCAGTAACTGTAGATAGGAATGATTTGGAAGAACATACTCAAGGATTCCAACAGCTGTATAAAAACGGTAAATACTTTGCATGTTACGGTGGATTTGAAACTAAATCTAAGTACAAAGGGAAATTTTTTTAAACTTGCAGGAGAAAATAAATCACCCAAGTTGCTATGAACTTGACAAATTCTGTATTCACTGAACAATCCCGTCTCTACTCTTCCCCATTCCCTTATGAGAATGCACTTGTAACCAGTGGAGCATTTCCTGGCACAAAATCATGAATACACATTTATACTCCTGAAAGAACACTGACAGTGTCCTATGTAAGTAGCAAAGGTGGGGGCGGGGAGCTATCTAGAAGTGCTAAATGCCCTTCCAAACCTTAATTTACTGTCTCTCTCGCCTTTGTGAAGCCATATAAAACTCAGGTACCAGAACCGTAAAGCACTGTCCGTTTCGAACAAAACAAAACACAAAGTACGAAACGATGGAGAAAGGCTTCGATTACCCCTCAAACCAAAAACATGCCCAGCGTTTTGGGGCCCCGCGCCGCCCGCCCGCCGCACTTGGCGGCCCGCCCCACCTGCCGCGCGTCCGTCCGCCCGCCCCGCGCCGCCAGGCTGCGCTCCCCGCCGGCCCCACGCAGAGGGGCGTGCCGCCCGGCCGCCCGCTAGCGGGCCCGCTGGCTCGCTTGCTCTTACCGCCAGGTCCGGGTGGCCGCTGTCGCGGTGGGACACCGCTCGGATGACCCCCGCCCGCCAGCCGCTCCCGCAGCCGCTCTGCCCGCGCTCGGGACGCGCGTCCTCGCCGGCCGCCACGCACAGGAACCGCTTCCCCACCAGCTCGGGCCGCGTCTCCACCGCCATGGCCGCCTCTGCGCCGGGAACGAGCGCGGCCCGCTCCTACCGGCCGCCCATACTGAGGAGCCGACCGCAGGCGAGGCAGGCCGCGAGCGAGAGCTCCCCGGCACGCTCGGCGACCCGGAGCCGCGCCGCCCCCGTCCTGCCGCGCGCCCCACAGGCAAACTGACAGGAATGCGCGCGCGGCCGGCGCAAGCAGCGCGGCGCGCCGCGTCCAGTACCCCTCCGCTCGCGCCGCGCCGCGTGTCCTTCCGCGGGCGGGGGGAGGGGGCGGGGGTCGGCGGGCGCCGCCAAGTAGTGCCGCCCCGCCGGCTGCGCTGCGGCACCGAGCGGCAGCTGCCGAGGGACAGCCGGCCAAGGCCAAGCGAAGCGGCTTCCGCCGCTCCTTCCTCGCACCCTTGGAGGGGCGACTGCCTGGGTAGGGCTCGGCTCCCACGCGCGGTCACAAAGCCAACTCCGGGCGGCCCGCATGTCAGGAGCGCAGTCCATGAGAACACATAGCGCCGTCGTCGCCAAGGAGCCCGAATCCCCGCGCGGGTTACGGCAAGCCGCGCCGCCCACCCCACCGTGCCCGCTCGGCGGCCCGCGCCTCTAAAGCAGCATGCCTCCCGGCGGCGATTCAAATTCCGCGTTGGAGCTGTTTGGAGATTTACACCTCGCGCTGCCTTTTAGCAGGAACGCCAGACACTCCACCGCGGGCTGTTACCGACGTCCTTAAATTTCACAAACTGTCTCAGCGCCAACCCCAGTACTCCGCGTACTAGAACACAGTCGGGTAATAAAACGGAAAGCTCCAGAGTCAGTTACTGGAAAAAGACCATGGAAAGAAAAGAATCTTAGCCAATCACACTGGAAGAAAATAAATGATGTTTACTTCCCATCCAATCAAAACAGGACTTTATAACCCAGACAAAGACAGCTAGGAATTCCTCTTCTGATCGCGCCTCAATTCTCACAATCAAGGCTCCCTTTCAGACTCCAGAGAGTTTGATGACAGGTATGCTTTACAGACTTTATTTTAAAGCAGATATGTGAAATTGTGAATCTAAATCCGATCTGCCATTTTTCAGTGATTATCAACTTCAAAAATTTAATCCAATAAAAATATCTTCCTAAACTTCTCCCCCCCCAAAAAATGCTTTCTGTAAACTCTTATAGTAGCACTCTGCGTGTTTATAATAAACACAAAGGACTCTTGTATCTAGAGAGCATTCACAGTAAGCTGTTAATGCAGGCAAACAGCCACTGCCCATGTAAGAGATGGAAAACTACAAGGCTGAGTTGAAATGAGCAGTCTAATTTTACTTGTCTAAGGAAAAACACAATTGTATCGCATAAAGGAAAGCTATGCAAAAAATAAAAATGTGTGCCGGCTGCTCAGATTTCTCAGGATTTCTTCCCACACAAGGTTAATAAACCTAATAAGTCAGTGAAAAGAGTGCAGCCTGTGTACAGATTTTTAAAAAGAGTCTCAGATCAAATATCAAACCATCCGTGATCTATCTGCTTTGTAACCTGGGACACAAGGTAATCATTAAAGCAACCTAGGAACCTGGAGATGGGGACAAAGCACTTGTCTAGCTAGTGCAAAGAAAGCCCCAGCGTGGGTGAAGAGCTGTGTGTTTAAAGAAAAATGATCCCTCGCAATGATATCCTAATACAGGGAAAGCCGTCCAGTAAAAAGCATGAATACAGCAAAACCACATCGGGGATAGAAACAAAGCTCACAGGCCCTGTATCCCATCCCCACCACTGGTTTTCTTGCTGAGTAATACGGGCTGACTCTGAACTCATCCTTTTGCTTCTCTGTGTAGACCAGGCTGTCCTAGAACTCATTCTGTAGACCAGACTAGCTGGCCTTGATCTTCTAAGATCCACCTGTCTCTGCCTCCGAGGGCAGAGACTAAAGGTGTGTGTTATCACTGCTAGGCTCCTTCTGCTTTTCTCAAGTGCTGGGGTTACAAGTGTGTACCACCATGTATTTCTAGAATTATATCCCAAACTGTCTCCTACAACCCCAAGACTATAGCCAATATCTAGGTTTCAGCCTAAACTGGGGCTATTTTGCCTTTGGAGAGACCTGAAAAAGATCTTTTTCAAAAGATGAGTAAAACCTTGAAGTTTTTTAGTTTCTTGGGGGGGGGTGTTTTTGTTTGTTCATTTGTTTTTGTTTTTCAGGTTTTTAATTTGTTTTGCTAAGGAGTATCTGCATTGTTTAATTTTTACTGGCAAATACTAGCTGTAAACAATATGGAATTGAAAGAAATTTTAACATCAGATTTGAAACCTTAGTATATAATGGTTAATATTGACCATTGATTTAGCAGGAAGGAGGATCACAAGGCTACCTAACAGCAAAGCCTCTAGGCATGCCTATGGGGGATTATCTAGAGTCGATTGAGGCAACTGGACCCATCTTAACTGTGGGCAGTAGGATTCCACAGGCTGGGGTCTTAGGGCTAACCAATTGGGTGCTATCATTCATTACCCTCTGCACCTGCCTGATGCCCTTGCCACTCTTTGTCACCATGCCTTCCCCACATCATGGGCTGTGTACTAGTAAACTGTGAGGCACACACACACACACACACACACACACACACACACACACACACGTGAGGCACCCTTTTTCCATTATACTGCTGCTGTCTGGGTGTTTTGTCATAGCAACAGAAAAAGCAACACATACAATTAGAATACTGTATGTTTCATTTGTTAAGTTTCCGTATATTATTTAATAAAGACTACATGTCAAGGAGCTAATTTTTTTTTGGAGACAGGGTATCTCTGTGTAGTCCTGTTGTCCTGGAACTCACTGATATCCTCTGCCTCTGCCTTCCAAGTGCTGGGTTTGAAGGGGTGTGCCACCACTGTGGGGCTAGAGAAATGATTTTAAAACTAGGTTTGTAATGTCAAAGGGACTCTGCTATTTTTTATTTATTTTATTTTATTTTGGTGATTTTCTGAGACAGGGTTTCTCTGTGGCTTTGGAGGCTTCTCTTGGAACTAGCTCTTGTAGACCAGGCTGGTCTCGAACTCACAGAGATTCGCCTGCCTCAAGTACTGGGATTAAAGGCGTGCACCACCACCACCTGGCGAGAACTCTGTTCTTAACTAAAATGACACTTTAAAAAAATGTGAAGGCCACCTACCGAGCTGATTACTCTTTATTAACATGGCCTATTCATACTTGATTGGTTCAATATTTATTTAGCATTTACTATGTATCTCACATCCTGAAAGCTTCTGTAGACAGGGTGCTTTGTGTGAGAAGCTCAAAGCCTATCTGAAAACTCAGACAACAGAAATGCTCTGGTCTGTTGACTTATGGATTTACCAACAAGGATGGAGAGAGATGGCTCAGAGGTGAAGCGCTGGGTGCTCTTCTAGAGCAGTCGGCTCAATTCTCAGCACCGACAGTTCACAACTGTCTGTATCCCCCAGCTCCAGAGGACTCAACAACTTCTGGCTTCCATGGCCACCAAGGATGTACATGGTGTACAGACATACACGAAATAAAAACTGTACATGTAAAATAATTTTAAATGCGGAAAAAAAGAGGCGGTATCAACAGAATGTCATACAAAGTACATTAATGCCTTCCATGTTAGTTATAACTTGGGACTTTTTTATTAGCTGTCAAATATATAGAGTGGACTCACTCATAAAATCTTAGGACAATACATTCAAACACAACTAGAAACTGTGGAATTCAGTATGAAAGAGAACCACGATTTCAACTAAACTGTTGGAAAACAAAAAATAAAACACAAGACAAATTGATAGTACAATGTTTATCATGAAACCTTAAGTGGTTTGTATTTAGCTAACTTCCTAAACATATACTTAAAATGAATTAATCATACTTATGATGTTTCTTCAAAAAAATCCATCTCCTATTTCCAAACTAAGACAACTTCACAACTACAGGTTTTCAAAACTTGTCCTATTCATCGTAACACTTAGGACAACTGTATCTGAACACTGGTGTGACTGATCATTTTATACCTGTCTCATCTGATAAGTACAAGTTTCACAACACCAAGGACAGGGGGACAGTCTGTCTTCATCATGTTTATTTATCTGTGCTCCCAGCATCTACAAACCCTTGCTGTGAGAAGACCATATGATGGAATTGACTAATGGATGAAAATGGCCCAATGTATCTTTTCTCCTTTTGTTTTTTTTTTTTTTCTCCTTCTTTGGAGACAAGGTCCCCTATGGAGCCCAGTCTGGCCTGAACTTGGAGTCCCCTGCTTCAGCCTCCTAAATACTGGGTTTGGTGTACTACACTGCCACACACAGCTAACTTTTCTTACTCCAACCAAAGAGAAGGGAACTTAGAATTTCAAAATCAAGAGTAGTAAATCAGAGTTCCTGTTCTGCCTACACGCTCCTTTGTTGCCTTCATACCAACGTCATGCAATAGTACCCCATTTCACCAGGCTTCTGTGTTGAGTGTCTTCAAGCACAAGGTTAAGTAGAAAAGAACTGATACTAAGATTTAATAATTCCCAAGCAAAGCTTTAATACCAAACTCTACAGCAATCCTGAGCACCTATACAAAACACCTGCCTACTGTTAGTCTTCCACAGAGTCCTCTCTGATGAGGCCAAGTCTGATTGCTGTCTCCTTGCTGCCAAGGGAAGGAGAAGAGAGTGGAGGGAATAAAAAGAGAAAGAGGACTAACCAGCTAGCACTCTTTACCAAGCCTTCTAACTGTGCGTTCTCTACTGATGATCACTACTTCCTATTTACAGTCTGTCTACATTGGAAACCACAGCTTCTTAATTATCTCCTCACTTAGATGTGACTTTTAATAATAAAGCACTAGAAATTTAGAATATATAAATAACAGAGCAAAATTCCTACTCTGCTCACTGAGAAACCCCAAGAAACAAAGAAATGGAAAGTGGCCTTCCAGGCCACAGTAAGCAATTCTTCAAGGTGTCTTCCAGCAAGCTCTCTGCCCACTGCCCCTCTCAGAAATGTTCCAACCATTAACTGCCACCAAAACAAGCCACATGCAAATGTGCACTTTGCAGATAGGTCAGGTTCCTCCAGGGCCAAGCTCCCACTGAACCCACAAGCTCCACCGGAGACGAACATCTTAGTAGCAGTCCTAACCTTAGTTCTGTCCACACTCAGCAGAAATTCACTGAGTTGAGAACTTATAATAAACTATAAATGAGGTGCTGAAGACACAGCCCAGCAGTTAAAAGGACCCAGGTTCAGTTCCCAGCTCACAACCATCGGCAACTCCGGTTCCAGGCAATTCAACACTCTCTTCTGGCCTCCAAGAACAACAGTCATGCACATGATGCACATACATACATACATACATACATGCATGCATGCATGCAGGCAAAACACTCACAAAATATTTGTTATGTATTTGGGTTCTGCCTGTATGCACGCCTGCACTGCAGGCCAAAAGAAGGCACCAGATCCCACTATAGATTGTTGTGAGCCACCATGTGGTTGCTGGAAATTGAACCCAGGACCTCTGGAAAAGCAGCCTCTTCCCGAACCCTAATCCTAACCCTAATCTCTAAGCTATCTCTCCAGTCCCTCATAAAATCTTTAAAAAGAAATTCTACAATACTCAAAATCTCAACACATCAACTCTATTCCATCAATGTTCTTCTCAAGATGAAATGGAATTTCATATTCTGAAGGCCCTTTGTGAGCCATGAGATATACTGTTCAAATTTAATGGCACCTGCTTCAGGAAACAGACAAAAAAAAAACCTAGTGGTGAAATATGATCATCTTCAGGCATTCCTTCCTTTGGTTCATTCTCAAAAAGCCACATGATTCTATATAATGAGATCTATAACCTCCTGCAAAACACAACCAAAGAATAGAAACAAACTCCTCCATATAAAGGACAGCACTGTCTACTGGCTCCGCATGGGCTTCACTAGCACAGATAATGTATTTATTCAACTAAAGGGAGTAGAGAAGAAGGCAACTCAGTTCCAGAGCTTGTACTTA